TAAAGGGCTCTCACCATTAAGTTTCTCCCCAAAAAGAGTCAGGAACACAGTGAAGTTGATGGGACCCTTCCCCTCATTCAACATCTCATCCAGCTCCTCATCATTGACATTAAGCTTCCCTGGTACACACACATCATCATCATCATCAATAGAGCATATACTTTTTTGTTTTTAGGTATATGTTAATAGATAAAGGGTTAAAGGTAAAGAAAAGAAAAAAAATACCCAGCTGTCCATAGGTCTCCTTTAGGTCCTGTTTTTTGATCACTCCATCTCTGTCTTGGTCAATGCAGCCAAAAGCCTGTAAGATAAAGCACAAAATATAATAATAATGAAGAAGTAGAATAAAATATGTTCCTTTTTTCAGTTGTTTAAAACTTAAAAGTGGGTAGCCTATTTCACCTTGCACATTCACAATAATAGTTTTCCCAATGTAAAATTTGCTCTTTACAACCTGTGCATCTCATCCCTCATGCATCTCTGAGGGAAGTTCTACAGTACAAAAATTATTGAATTATCATTTTAATTACTGAAAATCATAGGGAGAAATAGTTGCATAGATTATTTTTAGGATCTATTGTACAAGAATTTGTTTTCAGAAAACTGACAAAATTATGACGGATGCTTTTCTTTTCAAAAAATCATAGGTTCCCATGCACATTTCCTCCAAGAAAGGTTTAAAGGGAGCTGTGTCACAGCAGGACAAGACCCAATACCGTACCTCCTTGAACTCCTGTATCTGGGACTGCTCAAACATGGAGAAGACATTGGAGCAAGACTTCTGTCCTCCCCTCTGTCTCTTATTGGAAGCCTTCTTACTCGCCTGAGAAGATGAACACAAACTCATTCACTTTGGATACTGATATTTTCTTTACTGCATACCCATGGGTCTGCATAGAAATCAGTCAAAAGCACACAAAACATACAAAAATACAAAATAACATAAATACAGTATTGAGTAAAAGAACTGAAAGAATGAAAACGCAGCTGACTTACCATGTCTGAGTGATCTACGTGGACTCCCGGCAGAGGTGGGATGCTGGGGTGGGTTTTATGTATGGCCCATCTTATCTTCTACCCTCCTATAATAGCCTTTGGTGGGAAGCACAGTCCCTTACATGGCCATGGCTGCTCTCTGTGTGTCACCAGAAGGACCTGATAAGAGGTGAAGCAGCCAGGATTCCTCTGGGCTGGAAATTAGAGATATGAAGAACAGACAGGGAGAGAGGAGACAGGGGAAAGTGACCTCTGACGTTTGACAGTCACTCAACCAAATAAAGTTACTCTTCAGAGGTCAAATCAAGCTCTAAAGGTAACTTTAATGTATGTTTTAGGTGCACTATTTCTGAGACTTAAGCAACAATATTGTGTGAGACTACACAGCAGACATTAAGCCTGATTATCTATAATATAATTCCATTCCAGCAAATGAGATAAGATAAGCTCTGGGGTCTCCCAGTGACCTCTTTCATTTTAAAAACTCTTGAAACCAAAACAACTGTGACCAAATAAAACCAGATTTAAAAAAGCAGCAGGTATATTATCTAAGATTAAGTGAAATAATAACAGCACCTCTCTTTAAACTTATCTTGATTTACTTTGGGACAGCTAAAATCTTTTCCTGTGCAATATACCCCCCTATTTACATCTTAAGGGAAGAGCCCCCAAGCCCAAAATTTCAATTAGTTTGATAATTGATGACAAAGTGAATGTTGTAGATCAACAGACATAAATTTTTGTTATAGGCTAAATAACGGTGCCATAGACTTAAGTCACACCCTGTACATGAAATCCATAATTCCCAGCAACACCACTGGTTCCATTACATGAACAAGAAGCTTGCCACTGCAAATCCAGATAAGAGGTCATCTGTAATCTCATTCCATTTCAGATAAAAAGATTTTTAGATAAGAAATATTCATGAGGTGGCAAGAGGTTGGCATGGAGACTTTAAGAGGTTGCAGAAATATACATGTTGATTTAATTGTAAATATATATCACATGTATCAATATTTTGCTTGGAAAAGCTCCCAAATTAAGATATTTCAACTCAAAAACATTACATTATTGGGGCACATTAGTATAGCATGGAACATAAATATATAAATGTGGCATTAGAAATCAATAAATTGTTTTATTTCCATATCTTCACACATTTTTCCAAAAATGTTTTTCATTGAACTTCTCTACAGTCTCAAAAGTGGCCATGACAGATTATCAAATTAATTTTAGTTTTTTAACACGTTTTTTTAAATCTAAATTAATGTGTTAAATTTCATAGTATTTTATACCAAACTTGTGGCAAGGCTTTTTTTAGCTACCTCTCTAGTTCTGTCCCTGGATAATTTACCCCAATAATGACCAGCATTATATTTGTATGAATAGATTCAATTATAAATAGTAGTTCTGGATCCATTTTGTAGTTTGTTATTGTAATGAAAGTAATAAGCATAAGATTGTATTCATGTTAACTTCATTAATGTAACATTAATAGGACTATTACACCTAGAACTTAAATTTTATGTCTCTTGAGCTGACACAGAATTAACAATAGGCCACAACTTAAAAACATTTACTAATCCATTTTAGCTGGGGCATTACATCTAATCAATTCAAAGTAAATAGTAAAGTATAGTTAGTTTAATTGAGCAATTTTATTTACAGCATTTATTTTACATTTATTTAAAGCTTATTCACATCCATCACATTTCATCATGCACATATGAAAAACTACAACCTACTGGCACACACACACACATTAGGTTGTAAACATACAATTTAAATATACAATACCAAAGAAATATTTTATTGCTCGCTAACAGGAATTACTACACAAAAATGAAGGAATTTGTTTTAGTTTACAACAGCATTTACAAAAACAATCCTTTTGTTGTACATCAACCAGTTTGCACTGGTTTTATAATGCATCAATAATACATCCATTTTTTAAATGGGTCACAGCAAACCAATGCAGAAAATATTGAAATTGGTCTAATACTACCAAATACAGTCTATAATACAATATTACAAAACTATAATATAAGTTGTTTGCTGCTTTATCTTCTGTACATCTTCCAGTGGTGACTGTTCACTTTGCTGACACACATCCCGCAGACCTTGGGCCAGTGCTGCCGACTGTGGATGACATGTCATCAGGGTTCTCAAAACAGAGTTCAGGCTTGCTTCACCGCTGTCCTGCCGGGAGACAGCTCAGTGCACAGCTCCCTTTTTTACTGTGTCAGCATGCATGCTGCCATCTTACAGGCCACTGCTGAGATAAGAGCAGCTCCACGACCACTCCCCTC